CTGTTATATAGTTATTATTGTAATATTACAGTTATTATACTGTTATACAGATATTATTGTACTATTACTGTTATGCAGTTATTATTGTATTACAACATTTATTATAATGTTAAACAGTTATTCTATTATCACAGTTATACTGTTGTACAATTAATAGTATACTGTAATAGTTATTATTGTACTATTGCTGTGATTATACTGTAATAATTATTATTGTATAATTACTGTTATTAAACTGTATTACAGTTATTGTACTTTTGTTATTATACTGTTATATGGTTAATATTTAACTATTACTGTTATAATACTGTCAAACAGTTATTATTTAAATATTACTGTTATTATACTGTTGTTATACTGTTATACAGTTATTATTAACTATTAGTGTTATTATACTGTAATACTGTTATTACTGCAATATTACTGTTATTATACTGCAATAATTATTATTGTACTATTAATGTTATCCTGCATTACAGTTATTGTACTATTGTTGTTATACTGTTCTATGATTAATATTTACCTATTACTGTTATTATACTGTTATACAGTTATTATTTAAATATTACTGTTAATATACTGTAATATAGTTACAGTTGTACTATTACTTATACTGTTATACAGTAATTCCTGTACTGTTACTGGTATTATACTGTAATACAGTTAATATTGTACTATTACTGTTGTTATACTGTTATACAGTTATTGTTGTACTATTACTGCCATTACATTGATAAACAGCTGTTATTGTGCTTCTTCTTCTTCTTCTTTTGGCTTTTCCCTCTTCAGAGGTCACCACAGCGAGTCATCCTCCTCCATTTCACTCTGTCCTCTGCATCTTCTGTCCTCATTCCAACTAACTCCATGTCCTCTCTAACTGCATTCAATTCTCTTTGGTCTTCCTCTTTGTCTTTTTCTTGGCAGCTGCATTTCTAACATCCTTCTACCAATACCCACTGTCCCTCCTCTGGACATGTCCAAACCATCTCAGTCTGGCCTCTCTAACTTTATCTCCCAGTTGTTCAGCATGTGCTGTACCTCTGATTATCTCATTACCATTATCCATCCTTGTCACTCCTAAGGAGAACCTCAACATCTTCATTTCTGCCACTTCCAGTTCTTTTTCCTGTCTTTTTGTCAATACCATTGTCTCCAGACCATACAACATAGCTGGTCTCACCACTGTCTTGTAAACTTTTCCTTTAACTTTGCTGACACCTTTTTGTCACAAATCACTCCTGAAACTTTTCTCCATCCATTCCATCCTGCCTGGACTCTCTTTTTCACCTCTTTACCACACTCCTCATTTTCCTTGGACAGTGGACCCCAAGTACTTGAAGTCCTGCACCTTTGTGATCTCTGCTCCTTGTAGCCTCACTGTTCCACCGGCCTCCCACTCATTCACACACATATACTCTGTCTTACTACGGCTGACTTTCATTCCTCTTCTTTCAAGCGCATACCTCCACCTCTCCAAGTTTTCCTACACTGATTCCCTGTTCTCACCACAGATCACAATGTCATCTGCAAACATCATAGTCCACAAGGATTCCTGCCTGACCTCATCTGTTAGTCAGTTCATCACCAGAGCAAACAAGAAGGGGCTCAGGGCCAATCCTTGATGCACTCCCACCTCCAGCTTGAAACTATCTGTCTCTCCTACAGCACATCTCACTACTGTCCTGCTGTCCTCATACATGTCCTGGTCCTGTACTAGTCTAACATAGTTCTCTGCCACTCCAGATTTCCATATCAAATACCACACCTCCTCCCTCTGCACCCTGTCATATGCTTTTTCTAAATCCACAAAGACACAATGAAGTTCTTTCTGACCCTCTCTGTACTTCTCTATGATCGTTCTCAAAGCAAAGATGGCATCTGTGGTGCTCTTTCTTGGCATGAAACCATACTGCTGCTCACAGATAGTCACCTTTCGTCTAAGTCTAGCTTCCACAACTCTCTCCCAGATCTTCATTGTGTGGCTCATCAACTTAATTTCCCTGTAGTTGCTACAACTCTGTATATCACCCTTGTTCTTAAAAATGGGCACCAGCACACTTCTTCTCCATTCCTCAGGCATTTTCTCACCCTCATATATGCCATTGAATATTTGGGTCAAAAACCTCAATGCCATCTCTCCAAGACATTTCCAAACCTCCACTGGTACCTCATCAGGTCCTACTGCTTTCCTCTTCTTCATTCTTTTCAGAGCTTTCTGGACTTCACCATCACTAATCTTTCCCAATTCCTGATTTCACAGTTTCTATGACCTCTACTCTGTCTTTCATTCTCTTTATTTATTAGCTCCTCAACGTACTCCTTCCATTTTCCGTCACACTCTCCTCATTTGTTAGAACATTACCATTCGTATATTTAACAGGCCTAACTTGCTGCACATCCTTTCCAGCCGGATCCCTCTGTCTTGCCAATTGGTACAAGTTTGTCTCGCCCTATTTAGTGTCCAACCTCCCATACAACTCATCATACGCCTTCTGCTTTGCCTTTTTTTCTATTTAGCTAACTCTCTCTTTGATCTATGCCCCATCTCCTTAAATTCCTGTCTCCTCTCTTCGGTCCTCTCATGGTCATATTTCTTTTTGGCTAACCTCTTTCTTTGAACGGCGTCCTGCACTTTACTATTCCACAACTAGGTTTCCTTATCATCCATTCTCTATCCAGATGACACACCAAGTACCTTCCTACCTGTCTCTCTAATTACTGTTGCTGTAGTAGTCCAGTCATTTGGAAGCTCTTTCTTATCACCCAGAACCTTTAACAGTTCCTCTCTGAATTTTTCAATATTCTTCCTTCTTCAGCTTCCACCATTTGGTCTTCTTCTCTGATTTTACGCTTTTTTTCTTCTTCTTCACAACAACAGTCATTCTACACACAACCATCCGATGATGTCTGGCCACACTCTCCCCTGCCACAACCCTACAGTCCCTCAATCTCCCTCAGGTTTCCTCTTTTACACAGAATGTAGTCAACCTGCATACTCTTACCTCCACTCTATTCA